TGTTTCTAAGCTGTTTCCTTTATCAGTTGATCATCAATTTCCTATCTCATTATCATCTCATTCACCTTTTTCTTGCCATCTCAATCTCATTTGCCTTGTTTTCTGGTTATCATTATTCTATTGTTTTGGTAGATTGGGATTCTCGTCTCCTATTTCCATTTGTATGGCTTTGCAATTCTCATAATACAATTAATACAATAAAACCAACAAGGTTATCATCAATTGACGTTACACAACCATTTATCCAAATAACTATCTATCTATCATCCATCCATCACAATGTCTTTGGGTACAACCAACATTCGCTCACAACCAACAATGACTTCCTCCTCCTCTTCCTCTTCCAATCCAAATCACAACCCCAACCTTTCCCTCCATTTGACAGATTTATCACTTACCCCCCTCATCTCAACTTCCTCCTCTTCCCACCCCTCCAGCTCCAACTCCCACGCCAAACCCCCTCAATTTCAGTCCCTCACAACCTTAACATCCACCGCTCTCTCGGCATACAATGCCTCGCTACATCTCAACCTCGGAGCCCCGCAACGAATAATTGTTGAGTCCGCCTCATCAGGTCCTATCCTTCTGCATTCCTTTATTTCTCCTACATCTTCTACCCCCCATTCCACCTCCAGTACTCGCCATCGCAGCCGATCTACATACACCAACGCACACGACACTCGAATGAATGGATCAGAAAACCTGAATGGGGTATCGAACATTCGGAGTTTAGAAATTCTATCTGCAGCCCGAGAGGAAATGCGACCATTAAGTGGCACGACTGAAGGAAGCCATTCCGAGCAAGAGCGCCATGATGTAAGGGATGAGGGGGCCCAGGCTCCATTATTAGTGGGAACGGTTGTAGCGAGAACAGCGGAGCATGTAGGGGAGGCGAGGAAAGCGGCACATAGAATTGAGATTGTCGCGCATGGGTTTCAACGGGAGCTCATAAGAGATACAAAAGTGAAAAGGATGGGCGAGGATGAGAGCATGGCTGGAGAAGGTTGAGTCATTTGAAGAAGTGAAGTAAATGCCTTGGACGGATACGAAGATTATTGAACATACACTGGCAAGGGGAGGCTGCTTTCATAATGCATATCGAGGAAAACAAAACCGTTTGGGTGGAGGTCAAGATTCTTATAAAAGCAAATTGGGAGTTGGTTAGATATTATGTAGATGCGAAAAGAGGGGTATCATAGGAGACTCTCATGAAGACAAGGAGCTTGGACCACAAGTAGCTCTGGAAAAGCCCAATGCAACACAGATACACATTGTAAACATTAATGGTTCGTTCATAAATCATTTGCTTATTTTCATAGTCTATTTGGCGAACTACACCCAGGACCTGCATTATTCATAAAATGCCCCAAAACCAATCGCGAAATTATTTCCAGAAATTTAGATAAGTTGCTTGAAAGCTCTGTTGAGAGGAGAGCGGATGTTTGGAACGTCCTTCCAGAAATCGACAGTGGCGACGGCGCGCTTGGAGATACCTTCTGGGGTGAACTCGAACTTCTAAAATGGGGATTAGCACAATTCATTGATTGTAAATCTATGTGAAGAATAGAACATACCTTGTAAACATCCTTGTAAGCACCAGAGGCACCAAATCTGTTGAGACCGAATTGCTCGTGGGTATAACGTTCCCAGCCCATGGTTGACATAACTTCAACGGACAAAGATGGGATACCGTCTGGCAAGACGCTGAGTCTGTATTCTTGGGGTTGGGCATCGAAGACCTCGAAACAAGGGATTGAGACAACACGTGCGGTGAGGTTGTGCTTCTCCTTGAGGTACTTAACAGCATCAACACAGATACCGACCTCGGAACCGGTGGAAACAAGGGTGATATCGGCCTTCTCAGCGTTGTGCACAACGTAACCACCCTTGATAGCGTTACCAATGGTGGAGTTCTCGAGTTGAGGAAGGTTTTGGCGGGAAAGGGCGATGATGGAAGGAGTGGTCTTAGAGGTCAAGGCAATGTAATAAGCTGCGCTGGTCTCGTTTCCATCAGCTGGGCGCCAAACCATGCAGTTAGGCAGAGCACGGAAATGAGCCAAAGTCTCAATAGGTTGATGGGTTGGTCCATCCTCACCAAGACCAATGGAGTCGTGGGTAGCAACCCAGATGACACGTTGTTGGGACAAAGCAGAGAGACGGATTGCACCAGCAGCGTATGAAACGAAGTTAAGGAAAGTTCCTCCGTATGGGATGACAGTTCCGTATGCAGCCAAACCGTTCATGACAGCACCCATAGCGTGCTCACGTACACCATATCTGATGTATCGTCCAGACCAGTCACCAAGACCGGTAGCAGGTGGTTGGAAATCAACAGCCTCCTTCCATCTGGTCAAGTTGGAGCCAGTCAAATCGGCTGAACCACCAACGAGTTCTGGGATAGCTTCGTGAATCTTTTGGAGGACGATCTCGGACAACTTTCTTGAAGCAACTGCATCATCTGATGGGGAGTATGTTGGGAGGTTCTTCTCCCATCCTTCTGGGAGCTCTCCAGTCAAGCGGCGCTTGAGATCGGCAGCCTCTGAGGAGTACTTTTCGGTGTACTTCTCGAGCAATTGGTTCCATTCTTGCTCCAAGGCGGCACCGTGGGATGCACGCTCGTGGCAGATATCGTAAACTTCTTGTGGGACAACGAAAGATTGTTCAGGGTCGAAACCGAATTTCTCCTTAAGTTGCTTAATATCATCAGCCTTAAGAGGGGATCCGTGGACACCGTGGGTGCCTTGTTGCTTGGAACCGAAACCAATGATGGTTCTGAGCTTGATCATGGAAGGCTTGTCCTTAACGGCCTGGCACTTCTTGATAGCAGCCTCCATGGCTTCCAAATCGTTGTCACCGTCGGTGACAATCTCGACGTGCCATCCATATGACTCAAATCTCTTTACGACATCTTCAGTGAAGGCAACATTGGTGTCACCATCAATGGAAATGTGGTTGTCATCGTAGATAGCAATAAGGTTGCCCAATTGCAAGTGACCGGCCATTGAAGCGGCTTCACTGGCAACACCCTCCATCAAACATCCATCACCGAGGAAACAGTATGTGTAGTTGTTGATAAGCTCAAATCCGGGCTTGTTGAACTCACCAGCTGCGTGGTGTTGTGCGATGGCAAGACCAACAGCGTTGGCAATACCTTGACCGAGAGGACCAGTGGTGACCTCGACACCATCGGTATCGGCGGATTCTGGGTGACCTGGAGTGTGACTATCTATCGACTGGAGAGGAAGCAAATTAGCTAAAAGCCAGAAATTTCAGATCGTAAGACTACTCACTCTGAAAGCTTTGATGTCATCCATGGACAACTTGTAGCCGTAAAGGTGGAGAAGGGCATATTGGAGCATGCATGCATGTCCGTTACTGTAATTTTCGGACAATTAGCTTTTGAATCTTAGATTTTGGTGCTAGATTTCTTTGGGAACAATAGGACTGTGAGAACCAAGGCATGCTACAACCAATTTTCCCAAGTAGTATGATAATTGTAGTCCTCCGGATAAAGCTTCGCGTCTTCAAATGCAATGCAGTAAGGAAACCTCTTGTATCAAAGGGCATTGATGCGCAAAAGGCTCAATCATATTAATAAATGGGAATAACTTACGAGAGAACAAATCTATCGCGGTTAACCCAGCTTGAGTTTTTTGGGTTGAAGTTCATGATCTTGTTGAACAGAACGTGGGCAATTGGTGCCATTCCCCTAAATATCTCATCAGCAAATGTATCTTTTTGTGCCAACTTTGTAAAACTCACATAGGGGCTCCGGGATGACCGGAGTTGGATTTGAACGTAGCATCGGCCTTGAAGAGAAGATGTCAGTATTTGTTTTGAAGGTGTTGGCGTTGAGGTGTTCTTTTGAAAGAAGCTTCGAGTTTCCGATCGCGGGGCAAATTCCCAGAGACAGGGAAAAGTCACAGCAACTTACAGCAAGAACACGAATAGTGTTGATGGCAAGCTTGTCAACGTCTGTGAAACCCATGATTGCTATTCTATGAAATGAAAAAGAACTTTTGGGTATAATGAGGATTGTAGAATTCTGTGACCAAAGGTTGTTGAGAAAGAAGAGATGAGAGACGGAGAGAGTTGGAAAGAAGTGTAAAGTAAAAAGGAGGGGCGGACCCAAACGTTATTGAATGTATTTGGCTCGCTCTGTTTTTCTATGGTGGGGTGGAATTGGAATTTGCGTCACCGAAACAGAATGCTCGGTGAAGGGGTCCACTTTATTGTGGTTTTGCGTTCAATGGGATGTCGATGGATGTCAATACATGTGTGTTATTCAGCAAAAGCAAAAGAATATCCCGGTGGAACTGAGTAAGGAAATTATCTCAGACTGTCAGAAGTCTCGACGGAGAAATTATTAGCTTTTTCTATGGAGTGCCTACCTAGTACGTAGAATGATATCGACCAAGGTACTTGGGTAGATGCTAGGTATGCCCTTTCCATGTTTGCTGGCTAGATATGCAGGTAGACAGGTAGACTTGAGAGGATTGTCTTGGAATCAATTGCCAGCCGACATGTATGGAATGGGAGTGGCAACGGAATGAAAATGGCAGGAAAATGAGAATGGCAAGAGAACGGCAAGAGAACGGCAACGGAATAGCAACAGCAACAGAATGGCAACAGCAACAGAATGGCAACAAGAATCGGGCCCATCTAGCTACGGAAAATGGTCCCTCTCTCTCCCTCTCTCTCATTACCTAGACTCTTACATATCAATCGGCTCCGAATGGCCATCCCCAGAGATCCGTCATCAACAAACTTCCACGGCTATAAAAGTCTAATTTGGCCGGCCCTTTCGACCAGGCAGGTAAGCTCCCGATGCTTTTGTTAGTCTAGAACTCATTTTTGCATAAACGATTATATATCAATACATTGTCCCGAGATATTCTTAGCTACACCAGCAGGTGACTTGCAAATCTCTGGACATTTTTAATATGAAAATATCATGATACTTACGTTTAACCAACTCACTTCATCGGTTTTAAGAAGGCATGATTCGGAGGGCCAAGACATCAAGCATTATTGGTTTGACCCGTTCCTGGATCCGTTTGCTGGGAACATTACTCCGTAAAGATACCAACCTCCAAAACCTTACACCAACAGTTGCTTTCTACGCAGTATCAACACTCGGACATACAAGCCAACATTTAGAAGTGTTGTGCTTTGCTACCCCGAGTTGCAGAAGGTCCAGTGGAATGTTGATTGGCCTTTCAATCTCTTCTAGCCAATCCAAGGGTAATAATCCTTCCAAGGTTCTTATCGATAATGGTCTATCAAGCCTCGACTTCTCAGAACATCAAGATTTTACCCATTGTTCCTATGTCACCTGGGATGAGTGTTGAACACGAGTCTCTGCAACCACAAGCTGTATGACTGTCGAATGGGCATTTGAATATTGAGAATATCTTGGGGTTTCGAAATATCCGGTTATCGAATTTAGATTGTGATATTCGATCTTGATGTTTGGGTTTGGGTTTTTCCCCTCCACTACCAGCAAGTCTATCTTCACGAGCATTACTATTTTCCTAAGACCACTGGACCCTGAATTTGGAAAAAAATATGAGATCTCCAATCAAATGGACGAATTGAGCCTACGAGAGTGATCACCTGGCAGCACTTTAACATCGCGGAGTTGTCAGTTTCCTGCATGTCTCCAGCAAGCATATGCTGTGACATCTCTGCAGCCTACGGCTCAGATATCCGATTGGGAAGATCGTACAAGACAAACGAATCACGGTACAGCAAGTAATAATATTCATGTTGAAGTATCCATCAATACTTCATCTTTGGAACCATAGGCCACATGTATGGAGTAAATGAAAATGGTCATAGCACAACGTCGTGATATCAATGTCCTCGAGACTTGAGATAGCATCTTTGCAAACAAATGTGCGACGGTATCTGATCTGATTGATCTTCAAAACCATGGCTTGCTTACTGCATCCCTTGGAAAATTCAGGGTTCGTATGAGAATGCTATCAACGGCAGTGCGTTTGCAGTTCTTGCACCACCATCTCAAGTCCTATCGAGGGTTCGGAGGTGCGCAATCGAAAAGTCTCGCCGGGATCAAGGTTTATCGCTTCGAACTCAGACATCATGCAAACGCGAGAGATTATTATCATTGGGTATATAAAGTACATACAGGTGAAGCATATGATAGATGCAGATAGTAACATAAACTCCTCATGGCAGAGTGTGCCTCCAAACCGACCAAGAGCCAGTCTTATCCGTCTTTTACAATCCAACAACCATGCTCCTAGTCACCAACGCCGGAAATCACACCCGAATGAAACAATCACAACCTATTCCTTGGATTGCGGTTCACTCTCCTCCTGATCAAAACAAAATGCAGAGACGTCGAATAGTAGCGGATCCATACTTTCCACCTTGGATTCATCCCAGCCCCTGAGATTGGATTGCTCAAAATCTTTCGGTAAGCCCGATACCGAACGTTCGGGATCGGTCTTCCCTTTACGCATTCGATCTAATTCCGACTTGACGCCCGAATACTCCACTTGCAGTGACTCATATGACCGCGAAAGCTCACTGTGACGACCTTCAAGCTCCTCCAATCGTTGCTCGAGTTCCCGCATGTGTTTCTCTTTCCTATCCCTGAAAGCCCGTTGAGAAGCTCTGTTTTGGGCTCGGCGACGCTGTGTGGAATCAGTATCATGTTCGCTCGGTAGATAGATGAACCACTTACCGAATGCACGTGTGAAGCAACCACTTTATCGTCTCCACCCTTTCTCCTTCGTCGATCATGATCCTCGTAAATGCCTTCGATATCTAATTCCACCGGTATCAATCCCATCGGTACACCGTTTGGTTGATATTGTATGGGAAATGATGGATATGTCATATATGTATTTCCTCCGTATACGTGATCGTTTCCATATACATGATCAAACGTCTATGAAAGCATGAGATTCTGAAAGGAAGTGATGGGTAGAGTCTGAACATACATTGCTGTTGAGTGGTGAGCTTGCTGAAGACTCGCTCGAGGTGTCATATAAATTCATGTCTCCGTGCATTAAATATGGATCGGTAGAACCGTCTTGATGAAGAAAGTGGCCGCTTGCCATGTCGAAGTATGTCGTATTATTGAGAAGTATGGTAATGATGCTGCCAGAAGGGAGCACTGGATGTTTTTGAGGTGGAAAGGGGTTTGAGTCTGACTTGAATGTTGCGAGGCTATGATGAACAAATGATATCTGACAAGTATAATCGGAGGGGGTCTCAGTAACTTTAAATCTTACATCTTCTCCCTTCAGGATTTAGTTCGGGCAAAGATATTCCACGCCCATTCCGAGTGGGGACCGAATATTGTAAAACGAACAAGCCCTATCACTGTCGCGGAATCAAACAATTCAAACTCGCATACCGCTGTTAAACATAGACAATACCACTTGAGGCAAGTGACCTAACCAATCATAGACGGCAAAAGACTCAAAGGAAGCGGTAACCACTTTTCGCCGGGACATGGGATGGGTACAATACTTTGCATGCAAATTACTAGGGATACATGACCTCTGCAATTAATCTCTGTCTACGATCCTGACCTCCACAACTCGCTTCCACCAGTCACAGATTGCAAATCCTTCTTGTATTTCATGTGGTAGGGTAGGGGTTCACAGCAAGGTTGCACTGCGTATTAAGGTTACGGACGGTATGGCCTTGTGGGGGGCCATTCCATCCAGTCAGAAGGCATCTTGGGCAGCGGTTCTTCATTACCTAAACTTCCTCACCAAATTTGGGAGTGCTTACTATATGAGCAGTCAGTGAGACCCCGGTCGCTCGTCTTGCTGACATTACAATTTCATCGTCGGTAAAGATCGCTAGCTCGCGTTAGCGCAACGGATCCTGGATACCTCGTTCTGCTTTATTGCTGTTTTCATCCTCGTGTCCCTCGTACTGTCCATGCAGGCTGACTGCCAAGAACCGTTCCTCGGACTTACGCTGGCGTGTACATGATTGTATTTTCGTTTTTGGAGATAGCGAAGACGAGTTTTGCCCGGTGTGGTGGCTGCGGAGTGATGAAATGCGTGTATTATCCAAGCGAGTTGAAGATACGGTATATCCATATTTGGCCGTTATTCTGGCAATGCAGATAGATAACCCTCCCTAGGAACGTTACTCTCCAATGTATCAAGATAGTCTAGACATGTCACATCGGTCATAGCATTCTATTCGTACCATCGCTAGTCCATAGTAAACCCAACCTGCAATATCAAGAGCGTCTGTAACCCCCAACACACACGTCAACCCCAGCCCGCAATCAACTCCACAAGAACAAACCCATCGGTATCTCTCCTCCCCAAGCCAACCCTCGAAAAAACATTGCGGCTTACAATAGAGTTCCACGCCGCTCGCGCCGCCATTACCCAACACAGCCTAGCCGCAACATTAAAATAACGTCTGTAGGATTCTTACCAGCTCGCTACCACATTAGACCCTGCGCGCCCCAAGAAAAAGAAAGCCCACTCTGTAGATCTCACTATCTCATCCCATCTCATCTCCAGCTCGGGAAAATTCCCAACTCTCTTTATAGGTACCGTAGGATTTTGTCATTAGCTTCAAACTGTCAGCATCTAAATAATTCGCAAGATGCCCATCTTTCATTATTTATTACTTGTGTCCACAGCAGCGGGAAGGATTTGAAATCTCTGTGTATTAGGCATGCATGTGCAAACAAGGATCCCAACGATCCGATTCTTTTCTCTTATCGGAATTAGCGCCGTGGTGGACGAGCAATCGAGGTCCCTGAATATTTGCTTCATTCGCTTGATTCGAGGAAATCCTACAGTCGTCGTAGATAGCATCTTTTGTGATATGTTCTCATATATTCCATACAGTCGAGTATACCCGTAGAGATCATGGGATCTAAGCTTATTTTCTCATTGAACCTTTGTTCTCTTGGGATAATTAGATGATGAGATATGGTGGATTCTCGCTTTGAGCTATTCGCTGGATGTTTCAAGATGTGTCTTACCGGATTGAGGCTGAGATATCTAAGGTTAATAGGGTGGTTAACATGGTACTGGATGTTTGGGAATGCATGCATAAGATGGGATATTTCGGTTTAATACCGAGGATATTTCGGTTTAATACCGAGGATATCAAATAGGTACCTTGGAAGGTTGAGATGTCATTATGGTAGATGGTATTCTGTCACGATCGAAAGGATCTCCTCCTTGTGTTGATCGTATCGACATCTACACCCTCACCCTATGCCTATCTCCATCACCATCTCCGTTACACTTCACAACTACACATATCATTGAGTTTGCATCCTCGGATCCCCACACCACATGCCAAGTCCCCATTCGTGAGCTCATCCATCGCGAGCCCCCAAAAGATTATCCCATTCCCATTCCTTCCCCTCAGTCTCGAATCCCCTTCCCAGGGGGAAAACGTGGAAATCCTACGCCCCCAATGTTTGTCCCACATTAAACTTCTGACTGTGTCACATAATGGTCCTCGTAAAGTCTCTGACGCTGTGCATATCGAGAGAGGAAAGACTGGCCTCCTAGTCTCCACATGGTATATTCTTGATTTCCTGCGATGGAGAAGTGGCAGAGCTCGCAGCGCAGACTCAGAATTGTAGGAACTTGTCATCTCATCACGTCTTATTCCCGAAATCTTCCCAATCCGGTAGTTTTAAATATAAAGATACTCGTATAGCAAAGATATAATATATTACCCGGAAGCATTCAACCATACCCAGGTCCTTAACGCTAGCACCGGTACATACCATGCTGGCCGTGAAATATTAGCGTCAAGGGTTCAATCCGTATCCACTTGGAAACCAAACGTGCAGGAACCTTCGCTTGCACAAGCCGAAAATGGTAATTTTACCATTGGCTCGAGTATTGGGTAGAGTAGGTATCTGGAAATATTGTGACACAATGCTATCTACGCATGTACCTAGCGATGGTTGGCATGGCATGAGCTAAAAACTTTTTCTTTCAAATGTTGTGTATATTTTGGCGGTGGTGTCCACTTTTGGCAAGAAGGAGAAGGCAGGGTATACGTATTTACAATTCCAGCCGTTGGTTCTAGCTAATTCCCCCATTAGATTTCAGTAGCGTGATGTGTTTAATGTATCTCCCATAAAATTGGGGAGCGAGGAGCCAAGAAAAGTATTTTTACTGAAGCACTAGATCTGGCTTTCACAATGATTATTTCCGTATCACTCACTCTCCCCATGATTTTCCTCTTGGGTATCTTGGCACATATCTAACAATAATACCTGTATCAGTCCATCCAAAAATAAGAATCCGAGAAACTTCTGTATGCATACTAGTTCCAAGCCCGCCTGCAGACATCAATGCAGAAGGATAACGATTTCTTATCACCCTCCTTGTCCCACCAGTGACACGACACATTTGCCATTCTCATCCCGCTTACATACAAGAATCTTACATGTGTCAAAATAAGTGTCAAGACTGGTCGAATATGCACCGCCATGTACTTTCCCCAAACGAGAAGTCCGCTCAAGCCCGATAGTAGAGATGGACTCCCATTTGTGGAGCGGAGATGCTCAGATGACATACACATGGGCTTACTTATACATGACATGGACATTTGGAAATGCAGAGGGAAAATGACGATATGGGGTGATGGGGCTTGGTATAGGATGAGCATTTTCTGTGCACTGGAATATTCTGTAGGATGTGACCTTGACAACTGCTTTTCTGTTTTCGGGAAAGTACTAGGTACTAAGATATCTGCATAGCAGCGCAGTCAAGTGGCTTGAGTACTACGCGATACATGTGCATAAAAATTCTCGCAAATTGCATGTCTAGATGTACGGAAAAGAAATTTGTGGAAGAGCACAATCAAGATTTTCCTCTGGGGCAATGCTATGTCTTGGTTGGCGTCCAATTCCCTCCGGGTCGACGTATGGGAATGGAAGGAGGGGTAAAGAGAGCGTTACCTTGAAGTAATGGCGAATTTGAGATTTGTGGCGAGTTTGAAATGTATGGGGTGATTTGCTATGGTATGTTGATATGGTACGAGGCGTAGTCTTGTACCTCGCTACTACAACAACCAGCAGGGGGAAAAACACGAGTACCATTGATAGGTGTCTGGACTTCTGAACATCTGCATTTTATGTACGTGGTAAATGTTAAATCTCTCCTAGCATAAAATATGAACTCAAAGCATCAGAAGCTTCAATATCATAGGCCCGGCAATACACGATTCCAACATCACCTCTCATATATACATTGGAGTGGATTAAGTAAATGGCATCAAAACCACAAATTTTGTATTCCCCAGAACCGTACTACAAACCCTGAGGCTTATCATAATCCACTTCATTGAATATGCACATGAAATTGCTGCCTATCTACTCTACAATTCCAAACCGCACATAAAGCCCAGTATGAATTCATACGTTACAATGCATAAAACAAGCTCACTCAACTGCCAACTATTGACCAGTAACACAACGCCAATCTAATCTAATCTGCACAGGTGCAGGAAGACGCATGAAGAAACACAAAGTTCACAAGTTTTACCACAGGCAAGATTGATATGTAATGAAGTGTGGTGTATATGGTATTCGGAGTGTGGTGGGGAGATCGACTCTAAGGAGGGGAAGAGAAAAGCTTGAATATGTGATAAGTAGGGGGAGAGGGGAACGGAGAGGGGAAAATGAATCACTGAAGGGATAATGAGGGGTAATAGGAAAATGGATAGTAATCATTCAATAATTGAAGATTCTTGGAGCGTTGGCAGCGAGTGAAATATTGAGTGAGATGATGGTAAGAAGAATAGATGTTATTGGAGCGGGGATATGCATTCGGATCCGAAAGGGAAGAGTTTTACATCGCCGAAACCATTAAAATCCATCTATCAAGCCATTCATAGAAAATTTCAAAATACGCGAACTATTGTAGTCGAAGATAAAAACCGTCTGAGAAGACGGGAAGACCACGCATGCTTTTTGTACGATTCAAGTCGGGGGAGCCGATATCAGATCCGAGCTCAAATAACGCGTCGTTGTTGAGCCGCTGTAAACCTGCTGATACAATGCATTGCGTTGTCTCATACTTCACAGAATCTGCAGGGTGATCTTTCTCTGACTTGCGCCAACTTTACTTCATATAGATACTCGTACATATCCTGTGTTCCAAATGGCGTAAAGACCTCTGCTCGATCCTCAAAATAGGATTGGATACCATACATGGTGTTTGAACTCTATCATTTTGCATCGAATAGACAATTCTGACCAGATACACGAATCTCGGAATCTTAAAATACACTTGTGGATATATGTCGGTATTTCAATTCTCCAACTAACAGACGAGTTCAATGAGCCACATCATCCGGGCCGGTTAGCTTATTTCTTTCGCCAACTGCGAGGCGTGTTAGTATAGTGAAGAGTAGCGATGGATTCAAACGAAGCCAAGCGAGAGGGTGGACGTATGAAAGGCGCGTGAGAAGACTTACCATCTAGAGCTACCAAAAATCTGCTAACACAATTGTATGCTGCGATCTATATTTCAAAATTAGCTTTCACTCTCGGCCTCAAAGCGCATCTGATCTCTTTGTTCTCTACTCCAATCCTTTACACATTGCTACTCGCAATTGTCTCCTCGAGATTCTCCATTATCTCCAAAGGAAAAGTCAACCTACCGTAGCCGTTAACTCCACAATTTCCTTTTGATCGAACCACTTTTTCAACTCCTCAAAAACCTCATCTGGCACCCTAACATTCCTAGTCATCTCATCCGTATACTTAATCACAGCCCACTGTTTTCTGCTCAACCCCTCTGCATCTCCATTGGCATCCCCATTTCCCTCCCTCTCACACTTTTCCCTCTTAAGCGTCTCCATGCCCTCATCACTAACTCCTCCTTTCTTCGCCAATGGTGCATGATGTCCCCACTCATACCAAGCCGTGTTACAGATAGCCACCCTGCAAATCGCTATCTCCCTGATATCATCAGCCAGGCTCGTTTGTGTCCTGACTGCTCCAAGAAATGAGTTCCAGCCATCTGCTACAGGGGGACTGTGCAGTAACGTCAAGTCTAGGGGTTGGAGAGGTCGTGGTGCGCGACGCGCTTCAACACGTTCGATTATTGCGCGGTCAGAGGGAGAGGAGAAGGTGGGGGAAGAGGGGTCAGCGTATGGAAGACGCATTCTGGTGTGTGCGGTTTGGTGAATGAAGTGGAGTTGTGTTTGTGTGGGGAGTCGATGGTATCGAAAAGCTGTTTGCTTGACAGTTTGAGAGATAAAGACTAGAGAAATGGGATGTTTGGCATGAAACTTCATACCACTGAATCAAAACTTGGAGAGGAATCAATACAACTACTTGTGGCTACAGACGTGTATATATATAAGTTGCACCTACATCACACTACCCCATAGATGTGGGGTTGAGCCGGCCGATATGGGAGAATACTTTCCCGGGAGTTTGGAAAGGCAAATGCAAACGGTACCTTCAAATATGAAAATTGTGTATGTTCACGCCGACAACGTTACTACGAACAGTTTTATTTGACTGAGATGAGTGTACCAATTCCATGTCATCGGTAGGCATCTTGTAGTTTTATAGATCCGCCATCATGTGTATAACACCGAGAAATTCGGGAGGGAAGCAGAAAGGTGCAGCACTGATAAGCCGACCTGTACACTTTTGTACCTTCGTCTTCCTTTATCTTAACCAAAGATAACTCACACCCTTGGTATCTGGGTGAAGTGTTTTCAAGGGATCTTATGTCTGTAACACATGGGTCGGGGATATAGTGATTACAAGCTGCGAACTAGATTAAGTTTTCGTAGCGCTTAGATTGTTTGATCTCGCCCCCAAAATTCGGGTGTTGTATCAAAATTCAGAATCTTTAGAAATGTCACAATTTTCAAAAACTTAACAGATTGCATATGTGAGATCCTCTGTATTGAAATGAAAACCCAATACCATATGATTGCTACCAACAATAGAAACTACTAGCATACACGGTCAATTTGACCCTCATCCACCTCCAACTCTACTTCTAATGCACGTCGGAAACGCCGAAATTTGTAGAATAACAACAATACATATATTTTTAGCCATGAATTGTTCAATTCATAGCTTCCATCCCGAATCCACCCCCGAAGGCCATCATTATAACCCATTGATATATTCACAGTTTGTTGCAGAAGAGAGGTGTGCGTTCAGATTGTCTCGAGGCTCTCTCTGTATGAAGTGATGCGTTTAGCATGAAACATCTAGAGATGCCTTGGAGTTCATGAGAAGAGCAACAATCAATCCGTAAAGACCTGTTGTTCATATCAGTCACTGTTCAAATCAATAGAAGAACCTATGATCTTACCCAAAACTTCGGCGAAAATCAAAATAAGAATCATTCCGACGAAAAGACGTGGCTGTTGTGCTGTTCCTCTCACACCTGCATCACCAACAATACCAATAGCGAAACCAGCAGCCAAACCAGCAAGACCGACACTGAGACCAGCACCAAGTTGAATGAAACCAGTATATAATGCGAGGTTTTGTTTAAGTCCATCGGAAATCAAGACTGAAACAACGAGCCCGTAAATACCGATAATACCAGCCATAATAACGGGAACAATGTCTGTGTAACACATTAGTAGGACTCTCAAAGTTCCGATGATGAGCATGGCTCACTCTTGACGATCAAATCAGGTCGGAGAACACCCATTGCGCAAATACCAACACCGGACTTAGCAGTTCCGTAAGCGGCACCGAAACAGGTGAAGACGATGGCGGATGTGCAGCCCATGGCGCCGAAGAATGGCTATACATTGATTAGCATGATGCGTTGATGCAGATAATGATTTCAAGTTGTTGGACATCGAATCATCGGTTGGTTGGAAAGCACATCGGAGGTGGCATTCGAGGGAAACTAACCGCGTAGACGGGACTATCATTATTGCTGTCAGTACTTGAATCAAGGCATGAAAAGAATCGCGATCATATATATCAGTGCCAACTTTTAGAGATTCTTATCTCGAAAGCAAGGCAGGTAGGTAGTAGAAGCGGGAGGCGTCAAGGAGATAGTTTGTTGACATACCAGAGATCAGTCATTTTGAAGGTATTGGAGAAGGTGTTCGTTGGATTTGAAAAGGTATATGAAGCTCGAAGAAGCTTTTGAGGAATTGATTGAAGATTTGGGTTGATGAATAGTTGAGCTTGGAGAGTTGATGGATAGATGATGATCAGTGATTCAAGGTGGTTTGTACGAGTTGTTTGATGAGGCTTCTCTGGCAAGCTTAGCTTTTCGACCAATCAAGTTATGGATTAGCGCGTAACGTAAGCGAAGCCTTTTCGAGGCACCCGATAAAGATTAATCTTCAGAAAAAAATGCCAGTAGTTTTTCAACTTCATCACTACCATTTTTGCAAGTCAACCCACAGGGCGAGCCAACGCAAGGAACCCTGAAAGAGTATTTCTAAAGAAATCCTTATTATCTCAGTACATCCTCCAACAAATTGTACGTATTCTCTCCAGTCCAATTGGGTCAATCACAAAGTCTTCAATTCGATGAGGTCAAGTTCTAACATTTTCTTCTACAGTAAACTCAATTCCAACCCAAAATCACAATGGCTGAAGAACAAAACGAATCCGCTGCTTGGCCCGTCGGTAAGAATTATGCAGATACTCTACGACCTGCATTTGACTAACATGTTACTTTTCAGCCGACAGCACTCTCTCCCAAGAGATCCTCGATCTCGTTCAACAAGCTCAACATTACCGTCAATTGAAGAAGGGAGCCAACGAGACCACCAAGACCCTCAACCGTGGTATCAGCGAAATTGTTATCCTCGCCGCCGATACCGCCCCATTGGCCATTCTTCTCCACCTTCCTCTTCTCTGCGAAGACAAGAACACCCCTTACGTTTACGTACCATCCAAGACTGCTTTGGGACGTGCATGCGGTGTCAGCAGAGCTGTCATTGCAGCAAGCATCACCACCAACGAGGCATCCGACTTGATGGGCCAAATCAGAAGCTTGAAGGACAAGGTCGAGAGACTCCAAATCTAAGCCCTGGATTGGATAGTACATTGACCGGCGCTACACCTTAACTGCGTGATGGCGGCAGGCATTGGTTTAGGAAGAAAAGAATCTATGAGTTGAGGATAGGCAAGAAATCAAACTTGTACACATAATTACAGGTTACAAATACAAATCCATGACTGAGAAACAGACTCAAAAATGTGATGACTTTGACATTCTTGGTTCTTTTTCATTTCCATCATCGATTTTCAAATGAGGCATCGATTAATTTTTATAGCTCAATTCTCATTCTGACATATATTCTAAGAGCCTTGCGTACTCTTGGGACTTATTCCTTGTAAATGAAAACTGAAGGATTCGATCGTTACAAATGAACAGGAAAACAGCTCAAAGGGCAATGATTAAGACCGAGGACATGATACGTCTAGAAGCATGTGCGAAGTCATTTCCAATCATAAATGCGTAATATCTTTTCATCATTGATTAATTCCAATGCAATATCTCATGCAAATGCAACTCCAAAATCTCTACTTGAAACATTGACGATCATTCTCTAAGAATTTTCAGACTAACACTTCAAAGTCCATATTTAGGTTGAACGGGTATCTCATTGTAGGGACAGATATCATGGCTCCTGGGTTCTTTGGTAGAAGTTAAAAGGTTGAAATTGGGTGACTATGTATAGTCTTGACACCTGAAAGCCTCGTAATCACTACGAGCATTCGATTGTGTATTCAAGAATTGGAGTTTGGTGAAGTATTTACCGCCTAAATCCGTTTAGATTCTTTCAAGCATCTAGTCATTTGATTGAGGTTTGTGTTCTGAGCAGACAGATAGAGCCTCCTTTCTTGATAGGAGCTTGCGGTTATTATATATGGACTGTCTCGTGGTTGTAGTCACTTCTTCGTCGGGTCAAGACTTGATTAACCTTTAGATTGATGGCATCTAGTCTAGCTATACGAATTTAGAGTACCATGACAGTGACGACTATGAGTTTGTGGTGCTTTTGGTACAATATACATCTGTACAGGAACAAGATATGTCATAGTCGCATCAATAGTACTGAGGATACCACTAAAGGCGATCAAAGTAATAGTAGAGATTCTGTAATTATATCTCTAAACCTTCTATTGTGTATAATCCTCTACCTATGTTATGTAAAAATGCTTGACGCTCCTTCTCTAACCAAACCCCGAATGTTACACAATGATATAATACAAATACACAAACTCTCCTTACAACTTACTCCTGAACCTCTCCGTCTCATCACTCTTGACGATATTGTCGTTATCCGCATACGGATCAACGGTCAGTCCGTTCAACGGATTCAACTGACTAGCTCTATAGAACATATCCTCGTAAACCTTTCCATCCTTTCTACCCAGCGAAGAATCGAGTTGCCAGTCGGGGAATGCCCATGCATCGACGAGACGTAATGCATGTGGTCTGATCTCTCCCAATAACTTCATTACGCTCTTGGTTCTCGCTAATTGGATTTGTCGCACAGTAACAGCAGACGAGGAATAGAATTCCGATGCCTCTTTCTCAAGAGTATTCAGAGCATAGAGACGGTAGAGTTTGTGAAGGACATCAATGGTCTCGGCATCAAGCTCATATCGGAGAGACTCGCTTTGAAGAGCGTCGTAGAAGTTCTTGACGACGAGATATTGAGAGTGCGCAGTGCTGAGGCGCCAGAAATCAACAAGGAGAGAGTTCCATGATCCCTTTTCCGCGTCACGATGTTTCAGGGCTTCAAAGGTCAAGAAGGATGTTCTCCATGCAAAAGCAGCAACGATGTCACTGTCTGAGCCGAGAACATCGTGAGCGGCACCCATATCTTGCTTTTGAAGGAAGGTTGTGAATATTTTAGTTGTGTCGTTGTTGGGGGCATTTCCCTTCAACACGGCGCGAGCAGATTTGAGAAGGTATCGTGCCACTTGCTGCGTGAGCATATAGTTGTCTCCTTCCCAAGTGGTTGTTGGAAGGTAATCAGCATACCAACTTCCGATACCACTGAAGCTTGAGTATCCATGACCACCACAGGCTCTACGGCAGACCTCGAGACCTTCTGCAGCTGTAGTACTTCCAAGAGCTTTGAGACCACACGATGTAGCATGTAGATCTGCCAATAAGTCGCTTCCTGAGTTGAGTTCCTCTGGACCGGCGCCCCTGCTGCTATCAGAAGCACTTGTAGCATTCTGTTGCATCCGCTTCTGATTATCTTGGTACAGCCCCATCATGGCCTTTCCTGTGAAGTGTAGAGCAAACGTGGCTGCAAGCAATGGTAATAATCGATATTGGACCATTGTGTAGTTAAGGACCTGGTTCTCCCCAGATACATCAGCTCCAGCATCCCGATCTTGGAATTGCCGTCTGACAGAGGCATATCTTGTTGCAATGGTCACACCCCTAGCTAAAACACCACCCGACTGTAGGACGATGGTTGATCGGACCCAAGTCAAAGTGCCGTAAATCAAAGATGGTGACGATGGCTTGACGTATTTGTTTGTTTGAGGGTCAACGCTAGAGAATTTGGCCAACATATTAATATGTGGAATTTTGACATGGTTCAATAACAGAAACCCATTGTCCATTGTATTGTAGCCAAACTTTGGCCCAATATCTCCCACGTAAACACCATCTAATGGCTCATGGGTTTTCATGTCTCTGATCTGGCATACGAAAGGATGTGGACCGTATGGCTTTCCAGCAATAATGAGTTGTGCCATAACCACAGCATGATTTGCAGTCCTTCCTAAAGACCCGATCCACCATTTTGACGCAGTGAGATGTGGTGAGTGAAGAATAAATGTCTTGTCTTCGGGATTCCAGGTAGCAGTTGTCTCTAATCCTCGCACATTCGATCCATGTCCCAATTCTGTTTGTGCATAGCATCCAATAGCCTTGTAATTCTCGGCGGGTTCGAGGAATAATTTGTGTTGTTCAGGTGTGCCTTGGCCACGCAGGGTGGTGAGGTACATCGAAGCATGAAGCCCGTCTAAACTTGATGTTAGTATCCTTTTTGAAAGGCATTGAAGGTTTTGGGAGTTACATACAAGGAGTCGGCTCGCTAATGAGCTCATTTGCCACCTGATACTCCTCTTGATTCCAGTTGTGCTTGACTTGTAGTTGACGAAGTCTCTTCGCCCTTGCGAGAGAAGTCTTGAATCTATCTACTCGGCCATCGAAATAGTTATTTGATTTGTCGAATATCTTGTCGGCTTGCAAGATATTTAATATACGTTCTTGACGCTCCAATACCTCTTTGGTGAATAAGAAGTTCGAGAGCTTTTCGACATGTATATTAGACTTCTCCCTTTCCACCTTGATAAGCTCAGTGCCTTGCGGACCGGATGGCTTCAGATCTTTGACCCATTGTGGAGGTGACATTTTGAATGATTGATTTGGAGAAAGATTGTTATGATGGTGGGAATCAAAAGTTATAAGAGATCCTTTTGTTCAATGAAATCGGCCCTCGGTCAACAATAATTTCGAAGGCGTTTGGCACATGCGCCGGTATTGATGAGTAGAGTTTGGAGCTTCTTGACAATGGGACCCGGATGCCGAGGTACAAATGCGGGCTTTTGATTGGTAAGAGTCTGTGGAGCAAATAGGGGTAAAATGGGGTTCTCCATTATGATCTCCATACTTTGAAAGGCGAAGATATGTGAGCGTTAAATTATCTGGAAGGAAAACGGATTAGTATATCTTCATCGTTATGTAGCACCGGCCCTTGGTAGATACTTAAGACATAGACGGCTAAAATATACCGTTACACTCGAACAGGGCTATTTTTGGAAATGCTATCATCCTATTCGTTACAATTTTCATCCTTGTCTGTTTATACATCTCAAAATCAACTACACACACCTGATTTAGAAGATCATCAGAATCGATCAAGAGTTTTATGAATATACAAAGCAAGCTGTTTGGCGTTGGTGTTGAGGTCGCAATCTTTCGATATGTTGGCACGTAATGGACGGCATAAGTTGCACATCAAGCTACAAAAACATCTAATATATATAATAAGTCTCCAAGCTATTTTCAATAATCCAATTCAGATTTGACATTGAAATAGCACCGCAGGTATATATATACAAAGCATACCTATCACTAGATGCTTGGTGTTCTGTTTTGGTGTGTAGTCTATTGTTCATCCACGTGGAGATCAATATCGGGAGACTTCTCAAGACTAGGTAAATCACGAACAACCAAAGAGAAATAGCCGCAATCTCCTACATGCTACCTCCAAGCTGATAATGCAACAACTTTCAATTTCATAATTTGTTGTGATAGAGTCGCCGGTGAGTTGGTGAGTCTGCGAAATATTCTCAGAAACCGTCAAAACAGGTTGGAAGGTAATGTCATCGTTCCTTCTGTTTCAAAGGCATACCTTCCATTTCTTGTTACTTGTGTAGGCAGCTTCAGGCATTTCATTATATCAATCTCGAGATGTCCATACATGATATTCATCATTTCACCCTGAATCATATCTCCGTCTATTCTCTTATCCAAATGTCACCTCAGATTCTATTACACCGCTGGATTCAACCTACATTCGCTTTAATGCTCCTATTTCAAGTTATTCGTGTATATTTAAATTACCATCATCTCGATGCCAACACTTCCGCAGGAACCGCAGCAAGCACACCTGAATCTCAACCAGGATCCATTGCCATTGGAGCCGGTAGAATCTCAGTTGACGTCTGATCCAAATGAATCCAGGCCTTGCACACGAAAACTGACCTCAAGATATTGCATAGAGGCATGCGTAGAGTCTTTAAGCTGGCGTGGATGGCTATGTTACCTTGCTTGTCTACTAGTTATCATCATGATAATTGGAATTGTCTGCAGCGCCCATGTATACTATCATGATATGGGAGGGCAAGGTTGGCTCAAATTGAAACGAAGAAGTCAAGAACGATTTGATCAAGTCCAGAGCTTCTCGGAGGTCTGTCTGCCATCAAGACAGTTGGAACACTACAATTCGATGTTCGCGTTGAGTCCAAGAATGCCAGCCACTGTACCTTGGTACACCTGCGGGGATCAGCAAAACAGTTGTGAAGCATTCGACCATCCAGTGAGTTTTTGTTCAAAACATTATTCCCTTTCTTGGCTGACCATGTCTCCTTTGCTACAGGAGATCTGCTGCCCTCAAAGCATGATCTGTCGACCTACAACTCACACGACGTCAGGTATATACTGTTGCAATGGAACATTATCACATTCCAATTGTCGTCTCTTAAGAACGCATGCAAGATGTAGGCCCAACTACTTTGAATGCCCCGAAGACATAGGAGGAGGTTGTTGCCCTAATTCGACAACTTGCTACAAGAATCAATGTACTCCGATGTTCAAACAACCATCCTCCGTTCAGCCGTCAACTGGACCAACAGTGACACCCTGGCCAGCTTCTCCAGTACCAAGAGAAGGGGAAATAGCGCAAGGATCACATCTTATCAAATCAACATTTTGGCGTGCTGGTTATCCTTTTTCGGCGTTTGGTTTCCTAGTCTTTATTGGTGTCGTAATGGGGATGCTCTGATAGTAATTGAATACATTGTCACGCATAGGACTATTGATGGCGCCAGCGGAATGGTATTGTTTATCAACTTGTAGTTGGCGAATCAAAATGAAGAGATGTTACTGTTCCGCGAAATCAATGAACGGCAGTTGATGTGTGGAATTACTGACTGACAGAGGCCAAAATGTGAGACATTGATTAATCATCTTTTGTAATTAATTAACCGACACTTGACTTTTTTAGCCGTACAAGAAGGATAGACCACAACGATCTATCTTCGAATCTCATTGAATCTCATTGAATCGGAGATTTCCTTGATATACCATGTACATAGCCACTTCCGGACCATTCGAAGCTGCCGATGGATCCATCCTAATCTGCATGGTTCGAGGCGTCGTGGGGCTTTCTTGTGTGCATTGATGCAACGATATTCCCTCATCTGTTTTTTTTCCACTTGACCACAAAAAAATATTAGACGAGGCACAAAAAGCCTCCATCTGTCAATCAAGGAAATTATACGCTGCCAAGGCGTATCAGAAATGTATAAACAACCGTCAACTATCGAGCTGAAATGCTGGATAGCGCGTTCCTCCAATGGCAAAAAGAGTCTCAACTTCATAAGCATATCTCTTCCTTCCGCTCAAGTATTTTGATCATCGTCACATTGACATACTCTATGCCTTCAGATGATCACCGTCGTGTAAAAATGAGGGTCTTGCGATATTAAGTTATGGCGATCACGTCGATGTCGATGCTGTGTTCGTCTATCTCAACATCTCAAGGTTGATCCCGATCTAGGTGGATACCGAGCGGCGCAATTGAACAATTTGATACACTTTTGGCTTTCTGCTTCTCTATTGACGTGATCTTTTTGCCAATCACTGTTCAAAGTCTTTTCAATTCATGACATTGTGGCAACCCACCAAAATACTGATAGCCGATGACCTGAAGAGTGGAATGGATGAGTAAAAGAGCTAGAACTTTTTCACAGGAGTCTAGAAATATTATGAGCTGTTTTCTGGACGCCATCATAACAGTGGCTAGAGGGCGTTTTTTACTACGTGAATTGGGAGGACTGCGACGAAGTCAGGGACAAAAAAGGATTCCTCTTTTGATTTTTGACTTTTCGGATTTACACATTCCTGAGACTAACAATTCATAGATCAATTTCCACGAGTCAACCGGGGTATGCTACCAGTGTGCACGGCTTTCGCCCCATATGCAGTGCGACTCGGCCGTGGGATTTGTCGGGCTCGGACGTCATATGAATGGCAAAAAAGAGCCACACATCTTCTTCGATTGCTGTCTGTCGAGCCCTGGGATCTACGAAGTCCTGTTCATCAAGAAGATCATCTAGATTCAGTTGAGCCAGGAGCCCTTGTTGATGTTACCTTGTCACTCATTTCATACTCTACTCGCTTCATCCCGCGAAAAAGATTTTATAAGGATCGTACTAAGATGTATCCACCATAAAACTGGTACTTGGTAACCTTTAGCAGCTTTGGCGGTACGCTTTGTTGAGCCAAGACGCCACACTATAAGAAACTAATCAAGCCTGGTATTTACTACTCGCCCCCTATAGGGCAGTAAGCTTCGAAAGAAAACCCAGGCACCGTTAAACTAGAGCAATTACCTTGACTATCTTGAGAAGCACTCGGATATTATGACTGGCTTCTTCTGCACTGAAGCTGGGGGCAGTAGTTGCCAATATGCATATAATAAATAGCACCTCCACCTCCACATGGCATTGTAAATTGTCTAACGTGGGTGCCATCTTTCCTTCTTTTTACATTCACTTGGTCCGTCCCCTCATATATATCTCAATTCAAGAGAATAAGTTACCATTGTATCTTATCTCCTAAAAGGCGAGCTATCTTATCAAAAAGGCAGACGCTTTTAGCCATGTCTCTACTATTTTACAAAAGACCAGATTATACCAACAAAGTGAATGGTCCTTTAAATGCTACGGAGTGTCAACGATATGCTGCAAGAGCGAAAAGTGAGTTAATCCTGTCTCATCCAGGTTGATTTGACTAACACTCACTAGACTCTGAACGTACAATTCCACCCGGGTTACGGTTTGAAGACGTGATTGAAAATCAATCTCTTCCAGTATGTTTGAAGTCTCTCCATTGAACGACAAGTCTTTTACTGATATTTATCTTAGCCATGTTCTCTAAGTGACTTCATGGACTTCCTTGTTTATATTGAGCACGATGCAGAGAATCTTCAATTCTACCTGTGGTACAAAGACTATGTTCGTCGATTCGAGGCTCTTCCAGATTATGAAAAGAAACTGTCTCCAGAATGGGTACCGGAAACAACCGAGCCCTCTGCTCTTGCCAGAGATACAGAAAAGAACGAAGGAAGGAAAAGAAACCCACCAATGGATATTTCGGACTTCAATGATATGACCGACTTCGATACAGATGTTAAGTCTAAGGATGGTCAGTCTCGCATCAATTTATCGAGGGCCGATAGCGCTCTGGGGAGCCCATCAGCCCCTTCGGTTTTATCAAGTAGTACGGGAGGACGCTCGGGAGAAAAACCGAGCCAAGCAGGTCTCAAATGGCAACCTTGTATGTCCCGAATTTCTTCAACAAAAAGATTAGTACTAACTTCATTTAGTCACCATTCAGCCTATGCGAGAAGAGGTCAACCGCATAATGCGACATTATCTTGCTTTCAATTCTGCTCGAGAACTTAACCTATCTCACAAAGACCGCGCTTTATGCCTACACGCCCTTCAGCACACAACCCATCCGTCAGCTTTCCTACCAGCTGTGACCATAACTGAAGCTACACTCCGAGGTCAATCACATCCGAATTTCATTAGATGGTCTATATGCAACGGCAATAAACCTCGCGTCTTTTTCGTCCGTACCATGGGTGTCAGTCATACAATATTTGGGTTTGTGATAGCGATTCTATTGACGTTATCGAGCGTTAGTCGCTGGTGGAGAATATTTGCAGGCGCGCAATGGTTTCTAGGAATTAGTGGCCTAATAGCAGCCTACAAAGGTCTCTGCTTGATCATGCACCAATCGCACAACCGTAACCTACGGCCCTGGGAACAAATTCTACAACAAGAAGCCGCCGATGAGGAAAGTGGACGACACTCTTTTGAGAGTTCATCGGAACGACGCATAAAAATGACAACTCGCATGGGCGACGATCATGATAAGCAAAGCGACGGGGTCACAATTTCTGAAACTTCGACTATGTCGAGTTTTGGCCCGAAGAACGATGTGCAGGAATTTGAGGAAAAATGGAACAAGATGTACAAGAAGAAGAACTTAGCGAGGAAGGTGTTCGATAAGACTACTTGGACTCAAGATGAAAACTTGAGATTCTTACAAGACAAGATTGTGACTGGGGCTCTTGTTTGGAGTTTGATTATCACGGTGCCGTTGACGATTATATTTGTCGCTTTGCCAAAAGGAAATTTTTATTAGGTTTTGCGGAGATTGGTTTGAAAGGTACTAGGTACCCTTGCACATAGTCCAGGATCAGATGCTTTTGTACATGTTTGGATCGGTTAAAACTTTTCGGTACACTGAGATGATTTTACTTCTATACCTCATTGGGACCAGGCGGGAATTCTGACATTCCCAACCCCTAAACCGGGTTTTCTTGTAAATATATTAAACGATTCATTACCTCATCTTCCCAAAGGCAATATGACTGCAATTTGATGAATCTACAATAGACAAACATGACTGTGATTGTGATTTTGAAAAAATGGAAACACAAATGATATTCTAGGCTTTTCCTAAGCGCGGGGAATCCCCAGTGGAGATTTTAGCTCCCGGTGAACTTTACCTTGGCTTGCAGTATTTGGAAGGTTGCGGTCTGTGCTTTTCAAACCTTGGGGAAGAACTAAAAGATTTGATTTTTCCTCTTACATTCAACATCCGATAGGATATTTGTGTTATTGAGATGCAGATTGAATAAGCTAGTTTCTGCGAGTGCATTGAATTGGACTGTAATTTGCAAGGCGCGAGAAGGTGGTTGATTGAGATGGCAAGTACAATCTACATTCGCATGAGGTCGTGCCTACATTTTGCTGTGAAGCAGCATGTATCAGGTGCTGATTTCTGAATGAGAATTTCTCACCTCAGCATCGACAAACCAAACTCTTTCTGTGATACATTCCCCTTGGGAATAGATATTTCCGGATTTACCCTTTTGCCCCCAATACAACAACAGCAACTCGGTCACCGAAGTGGGAATCTGCGGCTTTCAAGTCACACTAAACCAAGTCATCCTATAGGATTGACTCGACATTTTATTCACCATGTCCATCAGTATGCCTTGGTAGAGTCACAATAGATAAAGCACAATATCGCTGCAGCAGGCATTGGAAATAATAAATTGTGTTTTATTGCCACCAACCATATCACTCTTCCAAGCAGGTTAAATACTAAGAGCGCAGTCGGTATGAAATACTTGCTGATAAGCCTGTAAGCATGCTTTAGCTTTAATTGGTATAGCTTGTTCTCCAAAAGCAAACCAGGTGTATGAATATTGGATGTATCTGCGCCAGTGGTTGAGAATTCTCGGGGATTTTGGGGGCCATGGGGGGTGATAAAAAGGTAATCTTCTTCTGATAGTTCTTTTATTCTTTCTCGGGCTCGTCTTGAAAGACATTCAAAGATGAGTACTTCATCCGAAATCCCAGCTGTATGTTACAGTACTTGTAGTATGAGGCTTCTTTTCCTTGTAATCATTCAGAGCTGATTTACCTATTTAGACAATGCATACACCGAGTCGCAAAAGATTGGCAAGACACCAGCATTGTGCGCATCCGATTCACTCTTCGAGATCGATTACAGTTCTTGCCAGGCGTGCGTTGCAGAGAACAGTTCAGATCCAACTTCGACGACTGAAAATGTCTTGGTACCTCAATTTGGACAATTCCTCCAATATTGTGCGTCACTAAATGCATCCTCAACGGCGTCGAATGTAGGGACTACAGCAACCGGGACACCGCCGAGTGACGCCTCCTCAATACCTTCCTCGCTCCCATATTTCACGACTACTTTTTTGAGTTCTACCTCTACTCCCTCCGGGTCACCATATACAACCATCACAGCAATCAATACCCAAAGCATCCCATTATACAACGGAAGCACAATTACTGTCACTCTTTCAAATGTAATAACATTATGGAACCAACCAAGTTCCAGTAAGAGATTACTGATCTTTCGAGATGCGGTTTACTAATTGTATTCCGTTTAGCTTCGTCCCCTTCTCCACCAAATTCACAATCTAAATTGACACCTGGCCATGCGCAGTTTAACGGTGTAGTTGTTGGCTCCATCTTTGGTGGGCTGTCGATCATTGCCTTTGGTATGATCTATTGGAAGTTTTGGAGGCACCGGCATCTGCGAAAATCGAGAGTCAGAGCTGGAGCTGGTGATGATGACAGCCCCGAAAAAGCACAATTACATTCGGATTCTATCCCTACCAAGAACCTCGTAGAGATTGATGGATCATCGAAACGCCAAGTTGCCGAATTGCCAGCTATAGATTCTGTTGCAGAGATGCCAGGGAGCGTCAAGTACTCGCCGATGGAGGTTGAGTGACTTCGAGTGGTTCTGTAATAAATAATTGTTGGAGCCTATTGTAATACATAAGTTTATGGCGCATCAGTTTGCTCCTAGTCATTCAAAAATAGATTCTGAATTACCAAATAGCTCGTTTCCATCGACGTTGGATTTATGGGCAATGAGTCTAACTCGTGGTACTCCGTGGCCTCAAGCTCATAGATCTCTTGCCATGGGTCTGATAATTCAACCGGCCGTTCCACGGTCATGAGTTCGGGCATATTTTCAATATTGGTACGATGACTGGATAGAATATTGAATGACATCGGTTTTGTGGATTCGAAAACGAAAACAGATCTCATACAGTTTTTGACGGATATTATAATGCAGATAACTACCAGAATTCCAAATATTATGGAAGGTGCGACGAAGATAGACGAAGAGCCATGTTTCGAGCCAATGTTTTCCAAGACAGGTGCATATCTAGTCCTGGGGCTGAAATCAAGACATCCAAGACTTCCCCCAGGAGTATCGATGGATCCAAGCTCTGATGGTATGCGACTACAATTCCAAGTACCATTTTTCATCGCGCCAAGAAGCGAGGGAGACAAAATCTTCAAAGAAGGCAAAGGTATTCTGTTGAAATTAGTACAATGACGAGTATGTAGTTTCCCACAGGTAATACCAAGGGATCGATCAAAACATACTTTGTGAAAGTGCCATTCATCACAGCCAGTCGACCACGAATTTCCGCCAAACTCGTTAAATTGACATGCGTCAAGTCTTTGCTACCCGAGATCTCTAGATCTTTATCGACATGTATTAAGGCTGGCATAGAAATATTCTGCAAGTTTCTGTTTCCTGTGACTTTAAGCGATGAATTACCAATAGGTGTGTTGTTGCTGCTATAAAAACTTGCGCTATACTCCAATACTGCAACACGTTGCAGAAGTGGTAGAGATACTGACCGCAAATTGTCGTTGCCAGTAATTTCGAAATTTCCTTGGACATACTCAAGTTTCAGAGCCGAATATGACGAGAAGTGGTTAGATGCCAAAGTTAGCCTGCCACAAAACTCTACAGCTGGCATGTGCACCCCAGCAGCCCCGTAGATTTCCCCTGACAGAAAGCTTTTTGCAGAAGAGTAGACTTGCAATGAGAAGTCGGAGGGTGGAGCTTGAATATGAAAATGGCTTGTATTTGATAAATCAACCAGCTTGAGGCCTGGATTGCTAATTACTCGAAGAGAATTTACAGTGTCCATATTCGGCAGCAAACCTGACGCGAATTGTACATCATCGATATTAACGTGGCCCACCACAACCTTTTCTGAGAATCCGATCTTTAACGGAGAGGATATGTTTCTGAGGTCCAACGTGTGTATTGACTCCAGCCGAGGAAAACTCCACGAGTTCGGTATATCGACGTTAGCAATCGTCAAGTTGTTTGCTATAAACCGAAGCGTCGAAGAAGACACGCTCCGGAAAGGGGGCCCCCAAAATTGATATTCAATTGATCCAGCTACTTCAAGGCCTTCGAATGAAATATGTTCGTTTTTGTCGGTGTCGGCCACATATATTCGGCCAGGAAAGTATTTGCATGCCGAAACCATGGATGCTCCGGCTTGATCCTTGACGCCGAAAGAAAATCGAGAACATATGCTGCCCTCTTTAGGTTCTGTAAGACAAGTCACCATTTCAGTCAGCATGAACTGTGTAGTTTACTTGGAATTTACGTACGATAAAAATTCCACATATCGTGAGAGCTCTCTCAGAAAATGACCAAATGCAAGGAGAAATTAATTGACGCGAAACAATAATATCAAAAAAATGGCAATACTAATACCACAACTAAGTAATAGAAAACGACACCTATACTAAAAAATAATAGATATGGGCATTGCTGGTAGCTTACTTTGTTGGGGGCTAGTATTACTTACTATCTTTGCCGCAGTCATTTCAAACATACATTTCTAGGTGCAGAATTTTCATATAATTTTCCTATGGCTTAGCATATTAGGCTTACATGGAGATGGGCTTTGCCAACTACTTCAGTCTTCTCGCCTTCTATGATTACTGGCTTGTTTAGCAGTTCAACAGCTAATTGGCATTTTCATCAAGTCACAGAGTTTTTAGGGTTATCTATATGAAATGTTAGAACTTTCTTTTTGAAGTAAATTTGGGGTTGCTACCTTTAAAATATCCATCGATGCGACAATACACTTCTGAAGATCACGATGTAATATTGAGCAGCGCCAAGACACTGATGTAAATGAACCGAGGTAACCAAATGGAAAATGGCCCCTTGTGAAAGCTGCCTCTCTACGTAGAAAATGCCACCTCGCTCATGTTGACAAGCAAAAGGAGACCAAGAGATCGATAAAATGGATACACAGCGAGACTGCATGAGATTGATCGTCCTACATGCAGTCTCTGACTGGCATCGCTCATCAACTATCAACCATATACTAGAAGCTAGAAAGCGTCCGGTGTCTGAGACTGGGTAGTCACCGTCGAGTTACGTCGGGCTGTCAATGTAATTGGGATATTCTTGACATTATGGATGCCGAGCGAGAAGGTAACTGTGCTCGGCCGAAGAAAATTGAGAAATCATATTAGTCAAGTTGAATTTGATCGCGTTGTTATCAAAGGAACTACTACGCTTGAAAACAGGAGAACTGAAACCCCTTGAACTCAAGTCAATTGATAGAACTTCGAGGTACCAGACTCGGCATTGAATGTTCGATCATGAAAGTTGTGAAGCCGCTGATCGCGAGCGAAAGCCAATAGAACTTTATCTGGCAACATTGTATGAGTCTGAAACGGGCGACAAGAGGTTCATAAAGTTCTTTTCAATGGAAAAGAACTGTACAAATCAACAAGTACTTTGACACAAAAAGCATGTCTTCTTCGTAAAAGACTATATAAGGGTAAGTAATCATATCATCATGAAGACTACTCACACGTTGATAGAATTTTAGCCGTCACACAGCAGCCAACCAAAGTATGTGTCACGTAGATGCTGTAGCACATACACTGTATGAGAAACATAAGTAAATTAGAGAGTATGAATGAAAAAAGTGAAAGGGAGGCTCGGCCCACGCCGCTGCCATCAGGACCAGAATTTCCAAATTGTTATTACCCGTCAACCTTGTCCGTCAAACCCGCATACATCATCTGAGAATGTGACCAACAACGCCCTGCTTTGCAGCTTGCGCACCCACACCTCATATTTTCCTTGTAACTTGCGAACTTTTGCTACTTGAAGAAGCGGCTTGAAAGTTAAACACTTAAGACTAGGATTGACAGATTGCTAAGCTACCAATGCAGTACTATGAGCGAACATGCAGAATGCCCCTCCTATTGTGGAACTCAATTTTTTGAGCCGGATTTCGTTCCGGGAGTTGAGTCTCTGCGGGGCTCTATCTTTCCTCAAATACCCAATGGCTCCTTTATCGAGGCCAAGTATCCAATCACGTGAACTACACATGATGAATAGCAGCCAACGAGATTGGCTAGGCAATTACGTACAACATGCAAATGCATCTTGTACGCACAAAATCAAAAAGCCAGAACGGACTCTGAGTGGATCAATCATTGCTGCGAGTAATACTTTGTGATCCACTTGCACTTTATATACCCGCCGACACTAGGGCTGATATGGAGTGCTGAACGGGATGCATTATATCGTGACAGGATTAGTGTGCATGCATTTTGTTGGCTCGATGTCAAGATTGCTAAATAGAGAACGAAGGGTAGATTAACAAAAGCAAGCAAGCGGAGAAATAAATGATCGTAAATGCCTGTCTAAATGGGGCTTTTACATGGTAGTTCTGCCATGGGTGACGGAGGGTTGGAGGGGGACAAGACGATTGATTGGAACGATCGTCTGTGCGACGGCTGCAGATAGCACGGACGGTAAAATAGCTGGATGTAGGCAGAAAGGGTGAGAGAGGCACACAAGTAGCAACGGTAGGTGTGATAGAGCAAGGGTGATGTGCCGCCTTTGGAGAGAAAAATTAATCGGCCGGTGGTCGAGTCGTCGATGACTTGTGATTTACGGTGCTCAGTTGTAAATATTGATCGATAGAAGTGGAGAATATTTGCTAGTGAAGCCGTTAAAATTCTTAAATTTGTAGTCATACTTCGTATGAAGCCGAATTGGGAGATCGAATGCGAGAAGTCTTGAGCATGATTGTGCTCAAGTGGGCATTGACTAATATGTGACAAGGCTGATAGTCGGATATCTCAAGACGTAGTCTATTCACAAGCAAGTTTTGCAGAACTTGGATCTTCCACATGCCTTCTTACCTGTCACGACGCTGTGGCTAACTTGTACTTGCTTCATCATCCTTTCACCGATTCTTTATTCTGAGAACATTAGTTTGATGATTGATCAGATTTCTTCTGCAACTAATAATTCTTCCATTGCACTTGTGCGACCCCCTAAATATCGTACTGCTTTGCTGACTGCATCGAAGAATCATTTACTGAAGTAAATGCTTGTGATGGCTGAGGGCTAATAACAACCTGATGACTACTTATTCATCCGATATAGGAAAGAGATACGCAACTCGATATTATCCGTGTCAACACCTGCAGAATCATTCGACGCACTTGACTTACCTAGTTCATGTAAACATTAATGCCAGTCTCTAACTCGACTCTACTTTCCGTTCAACGACATTGAGTCGTCAACCATTTCTTGTTATGATCATGATGAGCTCTACTTCATTCTGTTCCCTTGCAATTGATCCACTCTTCGGCAAATTTTTGATAATGTACAGTAGAGTAGATCTTAAGAAACATATCCACTATTCATTATCGATAAAGTATCCATCCATCACAAGCATCACACTTCAAGGATCAAAAAGATGTTGTGATGGGAATTTCGTTATGATAGGGTGGATGTTTGCGTTTGTTCTCCCACCAGTACGACCCCAAATTAAGCGAAGAAATTTTGTTGGTCTTTCTCGACGTCTAAATGGTCACAAGTGGCAAGGATTTAGTCGCCAGAATACTATATTCGCACTAGCTCCCGTCCATTCAACATGTTCACCTTGCTTACGCGCCCAATGACTGCAGCTCACCTTGATCATCGAATCACCTTATTTTTCCTTGAGTTTTGTCAATTGGGTCGTATAATTCGTGGAGTCCGAATGTACGGTAATCTAACCGGACTGCATGCACATACGCCGAGCAACGAACGAACTAACTGACTTCCCTCATCAATGGCTGCAGCCTTCCCCTTGTCCAATATTGCACTTGGTCCTGCACTATTGCATGCGGACGGGATTTGCGGGATTCTAGGATTGTACCAATTCTGCGCCTTACCATGAGTAGTTCTATGGTGGGCCCATCCAATGATCAATTCCAATGGGTATGATGGATGTCTCTTCCTCTGCGACCATAAAGGGACGCTGTGCCCCTCTCAAAATATCTTCTTCTCCTCAGCAAGCAGTCAATTCATTCTCAAGAGCTAGTCTCCTCCATTTTCCGCCCTTTTTTGTTTTTCTTCATCTTTTTGTTTTTTTCCCCGTTCCCAAAGAGCTGTGCTCTGTAATATCTTACCAAAATCTTTACATTCTAATCATTCTATCAAGTTGCCGGTCAACTTTTTATTAATTTTTTATTCACAAATCCATACAATCCGAATTTAACCACCAAAGACTAGTCTCTTCTTGCTCGAATTAGCCAATTTCAGTACATTGAATTTTCATCTTAGTATTTCGCATCAATCGATCAAAATGGCAGCTATTCAATTATCATTCTCTCTCCGTGTTTCTTCCAGTGTTAAGACCGTTCATTTGCTTGGTAGCTGGGATAACTATGCTGGTCAACTTCCACTCGCTAAAGACAAGACTTCTTCAAAATCAGGTAGCTGGAAAGGTACTTTCAGATTCCAAGGCACCACTCTTCAACCTGGTCAAAGATATTGGTATTACTACATCATCGATGGATACCATGTCTCACACGACCCTGCCGTCTCATCAACTACCGAACCAACTACCGGTCGCGTCTTGAACATCCTCGATGTCCCAGTCGAAAAGTCCTCAAGCCGATCATCCAAGTCCAGTTCATCAAGCTCCAAGCATTCTTCCAGCTCATCATCTAAGCACTCTTCCAGCTCCAAGTCATCACACTCCTCGCATTCATCTTCCCGCAGAGAATCCCGCCGCGACTCACATCTCAGCGTTGACATTCCTAAAGGTCGACCGCTCTCCATCTCCCAAATCAAATCTCCTAAACCCATGTCTCCACACGCCACCAAGCACATCCTCGAAGCTGATTATGCTGCTGGTCCAACTGTCGATGAATTGACCGCACGCTTTGGTGCTGCCACCATGGATGAGTACGATTATGATTACGATCTTCCAGGCTCACCATCTTCATCCGTTGGCTCCACCATCTCCGACAACAGTGGCACAAGCTCGCCATCTTCAGCTTCGAGCATGAGCGATTATTCATCAGGTTCTAATGTATCATCCTGCACCTGTGAGAGATATGGAATTACGAGAAAGGGAGATAGAATCAAGTTGGATTGTGGAGGTTCTCGATGCGGATCCAGCGATTCAGAGTCCTGTAGCTCAGAGGATGAGGCTGATTACTCACGATCATCCCGCAGAAATGGAATCGTTGTCCGTCGATGAATGAACACCTAATGATCCTGGACTGGAAACCAAACACAACACTGAGACGCAAACACATGCCACAAAGATAGATGTGCCATTTTCGCACCTCGCTCAAATCTTCACCTCATTGCAAGTTTTCGCATTCAATTAAATCAAAAATCACGAAAAATATGCATGCATGCATACATCAAGTCAAGTCTGGTACTTGTCATGATGTATGTCCCACAGGAAACCGAATCCGCGGCGCAAAACGAAATCAGCGAGTCATTCGCCAATTTCATGTACACTTAACAAACGACAAGTTTTCATGGAACTATTACTGTACTTCTTCAATTTTTGGGAAGGAAAGAAAAGTTACCACATGAAGAGGAGGAAAAGGGGACGATAAATTGCCAGAAGGGGGGGCGGTGCAGGATAATGATAGACACATACTCTCATGATTGAATGAGATATGACAGGTCTTTTGTTGGTAATGAAACATGATGGTCATGATTCATGATGATGAGAAACATTGGCACGACAGATTGGATAATGATTATGTGTCAAGTCATGATAACGAGATGATAGATGGATGGGATAGAGGACAATTGAATCTGTTCCATACCATGCCTTTTTGATGCCTTTGATTTGTGTGATGTGATTGCAAGTTATTTTAATCTGTTGGTCGCCGTCCCTTGGCCTTTCCAGTGTTTCATGGCTCAATATTCTTTTGTCTGGTACGGTAATTCGCGGTAATTTTCAAGTGATCGTGCATTGTCAACTGTCCAATAGAAGTCCAATTCAAAGGTAAATTAAGTACTGACTATGCTCTCATCAATGCATAATTTCACAGGTAGTTTAATAACTTGATTAGACCTCAGGCTTTACCCCTTTTTCGTCATCTACCACCAGCCCTCGACCTCTTATGAAACTTCTTCAACCCCGGATTTGTCCATTAATAGTCTTTCTTTTTAGAAATACAAGGATAAGAACTTCCACGTACTGAATAATCCTACTTCGAAGTTGAATCATTCGCTAGCCAGAACTGTTACAGGTGGTGGATGTTGATTCAGCGGTAGACGTTCCACAAATTCATTTGTATTCGAATAATCCGCATCACTATATTTCATTACGAGCCCTTATTTCTCGTCTTGAGTACAAAAATTTATACATGTATCTAGGGCTTCGAGTCACCTTCGTTTCATGAATCAATGTTTCTCCACTGCCGTCCTCTGGGGTGACTTGAGCCAGAGCAATCCTGTCCTTGTCCAAACATCCATTTGGTGCCTCTCGCCCCTTTCTCCCACATCCAAAGCTAGTTTGACATTAGAAATTATGACCAAACTAGACCTATAAGATGGGAGAAGTGATATCCATTGAGTTTATCTCATAGTCAACAGTCTTTAATCATAATTTGTGACAGAAATCGTCTACTTCCTTCCTACCAGTTTGGAAAATTGATCCTTTACACCTACCAAGTGTTATTAATACCGATAGCTCATCAAAAGATCCCCCTTTGTATCAATAGCTCTCAAATATTACTTCTTCCTCAAGCATGGCCAGCCTTATTCACTGTCCTTATCTTCTTTCCTAGGATCCCCTTAGTAGCTCAATTTAGTCAAGTCATCCACAGACGCAGGTTCAATGCCTAGTTAAATTCACTTCATGATCTCCGGCCCGTGATGTTCTCATATATGCTGTCTGAATCAGCTTCTACATCACTTTCTCAGAGATCATCAGTACGATCTAGAACCCGGAGCAAGTTCTTTGGATTTGCTCGCGCAAAGCCCTATCCAGCTATTAGAAATAAAAAGTTGAGAACGACAAAGCTGAGACTCACCGTTTATTATGTCAGTCACAGTATTACCGTCTAATCCGATCCCTTCTCATATTATTATTGTCAAATTCTCCTTGTAAACTCGGTGTTGTCTATGCACGCAAAACGTCCAGTTTGAGCAAAACGGGGGGGCTAAATTTTAACAGTCATACCAATGCTATATTATCAGTACTTCTATCTATTCCGAGCTTTCCTGAGACTTCCTAGCATAAAGTCACAAGCCGAGAAGCACCAGACAAACTAAAGCACAGCCAAAAGTTTCTTCTTCTGTATCTTTACAACTAAACTGCTAGCTTGGAGTCAACGATTATGTACTCGCAGGATTGAGGTGAACAACAGAAGTTAGGAATTGTATCAGTAAGACGAGGTCAGGAACTATGAGAATGATTCAGAGGAATTTTTCACCCTTTGGTAGTTCTCTCTGCTTTCCCGCATTTGATTCGCACTCATCAAGTTTCCGTTGCTACAATCAAAAGAAGGTTGACACTCGAAGATGAGATTCTTGATGCTGAGGTATAAACTGATGCCTAGTGTTTCTACCTTCTCACAAGCTCCTTCGGAAGGATCCTTGAACTTCAACTATTGAACGTGGAAATTGCTCTGCCAAGTTGATACAGCCAGTCATGAGCAATAGTGATGAAGTAGAGACCGTATGTATCTAGCTGAAAGCTTGTGAGACTTCGGGAACTACTTGAATCTTATCTCAATATATCTAAATACCCAACTCCTACTCGAGTCACTACTATCAGATCTTCAATATAATTCCATTACCAAGTCAACTCGGACCTTTCAGCTCATCTGGGCTATTTCTTCCTAGCTCGACCAACTACTCGTAGAAGATCGGATAGCACATCGGATCGTTTCTCATGTGCTATAACATTTAAACTCAGCCTACAAAAATCCTGTCGGTCTCACTGCCAATGTAAGATTACGGCCCTGCTAACTAAATGCTTCTAAACCAAAACCTATCAAAGTGCCACTGAGAAGAAGTACATCGATCAAATAGCCAGACAGCAAGCTGATGTTCAACTCTAAAGTTCCATCCAACTTACTTAAGAATGCTGTCAACAACTAATCAACAAACAAGTAATCTTAGATTAGTGGTGCTTAACCCCATCCGGAGATGAAAAATGAAGATATACTTATCCCCTCAACAATTCCAATCTTACTAATCTCAGTACGATAATTCGTCTCACCGATAACTAGACACCAGCTGGATCATGAATTTTCTGACTCATTAATGTTCTAAATTCTCATTTTGTAGGCTTATACTAATAACTGCCATCAGCAGTCAGCACTGAATGCTGACTGATAGATCTTTTTGGCAGAAACTTTGGCCATGAGTAAGTGCTGTCGCCGCCGAGGAAGCGAGGATGAAGTAAAAGACGAGAATATTATGTGTGCGCCGAGAACTACACAGCCAGCCATTGTGTAGTCTTTGGACGATATGTGAACTGATGCTGTGTAAAATGCGACTTTTGCAGAATTTGTGACTACTTGCCAAGACAGAAACTCTACAAACTAAACCCAACTTCATGAATTGGATTACAGGTAAGATTCGAGTTGACATGTGGCAGGTACGAGAATGATCCCAGGTCACTGATGCTGTGAGTGTGGTAAACGAGGCTATTCCCAGCTGTGTATTAGTATATAATCCCTTATCTATCCCTTCGATCAAAACTACTGAACTCAAAAAATATTTACTCTACAGCTCGAATCATTATACATACTTCCTATCATCAAGTAGACGCCCAGAATATCAAGAATCAGGATGGGCCAAGATAATAGAGATCAGCAAATTCCTCCGAACGATCCAAAGACCCCTCGATGGCTCCTTGATCTTCATGACTGGAAGCTCAAGAGATACGTTGATATCGCCAGTACAATTGAAACAGAAGGCTATGGTATCGTTTCCTATACCTGGGGTTATATCGCAGACCTCAAAAAACCACAGCCAGATGATAAACTGCCAGGCGGCCTTCTTTGGGACGTGCCAACTACTTCTGCATTCAGTCTCGATCCAGCGAGAGAGGTTATGGCAAAAATCGGCACTCGTTATGTTTGGTGGGATTGGATGTGTGTTCCACAGGAGACTTTGAATGGTCGTCGAACTATCACTGATAGCCTGAGAAGTGCAGGGCACGAAGAAATCGGGAAGCAATTGTGTGTTCGCTTATTCCCAATTTTACTGAATTATAACTAAGCAATTCATTAGGAATATCTACCGCAATGCTAAGAAAAGCATCGTGTGGCTTCATTCAACAGACTGGAGTTTGCAAAGCCCATTGAAAACGCTACTTCTAGCTGGATCGAAAGACAATGGAGCGCTACCAACCGAGCCCAAAGCATATTTTGATAAAGTTGTGCAACTGCTCACTGAATCCAGGAAATTGGAACGATGGTTCGTCTCGGGTTGGACGCTCCAAGAAGGTGTTCTACTCCCCGAAACTATCCTAATCGATGGCGCTAGCAATGCTCTTCAACATGATACATTCATGCACAATGGAGGACACGCTTCGGTAATCGACTTGACGGCCAGAGTTACTAAACTCGCTGTCGAGGTAGCCCAATCCTTCTTGCTGCAAGCCAATGGAAAAGAACCCCAAAATCAGGTCGGCATGTTGATTGATGAATCGGCTCACAGGGCGGATGAATTTCGACAAATCCTTCGAGCTCTGGTCACCTCTGGCCTCGTCGCGTACAGTAAGGCTTCTCCGCTGTATATACTCAGTGGCAAGCAGAGCCGCAAATTCGGCATGGAGCAGGATTCTTGCTGGGCATTGATTGGTGCAATGGAGCTTGAGGGCGTTACTGTCAACTACAACCTCCCCATGGATGAAATCAAGATGATGTTTCTCAGAGCATTATTTAAGAAATATCAATGGTCAATGCTTTTGCTGCCTCAGCCTTTGTTATCTGTGAACGAAGGGCAGTCGGCGAGCAATTTTAAATGGGTCAATATTGTGGATGGCCTCTTGATTCCAGTTGGAGTGTTTGTAGATTCACAAATAGGCTTAGCATCCAAGAGTATGCTACCAAGCATTGCACTTGACAACGCAATGACGGTGACTGTTCAGCCACCAAAAACAAGCCAAACATTCACCTTGTGGAAGAATTTGGATATCAAATGGTATCTACATTACGTCCAGACAGAAGCAGGAGTTGAGATTCGTTCACTAGCATCAAAGACAAGCCCCACACCGCGTATCTCTGACGCGGTCTTCCTGAAGCTGGAGGATCTCGGCAAGAACGACAAGGCTGCTGCTGAATCTACCGGTATGAGATGTGCTGCTATTATGGAGTTTGGGACATCACAAGTCAAAGAGTCTGCCGGCGTATTCGGCGGAATCGTGGATCTTTGGTTTGTAGGAGGAAGCAAAGTTGAGGTTCCAAGTTTGAAGCTCCATTCGTCGGCACACTGAAACGAAACCACCAAGACTGGTGGGTCAACGTTTAGAGTTTAAGATCAAGCTAGGTCGGGAGATTTCATTCAAGAGGTTTTGTTGATTAGAGAGTGTTTTTTGGTCAAATTATGTTGAATCTTTATCGCTGCTTTTCGAATTTTGAGTAGAAGAATACAATTGCGGCATATATTATCAAGGATGTGAGTGATGGATCGCCTTGTGTCATTCACATGAATATCATCAGATACTTTAGCAACCTCTCAACTTTCGAAATTCATAGCATACTTCCTAAATAATCCTGGACTCCAAGCCATTGAATCCCAAAAGCAAAACTCATTGTAATTCCACATCATCAGTGATTATATCTCTCGTAATAAACACAAGCGCCGATAAACCCACTCGGGTATATGCATCCATATCACCGTATTCACGCAGAAGCTGCAAGCAAAACGCGAAGTAAAAGAGAAGCAAAAAGATTTCAAAAAAGTAGCATAGACTTTGTGAGAGGTGAGGGGTGGAGTGATCCTTCCGACCCAGTTAAATTTCTCTGGATTGAATATAGTTTTCCTTGAATCGCGATGCTACTATGCATGGGGAATTCGTTTATTTCTTTCCCCTACCATCCCATGATTCCCTGGATCTGTACTTTGTTGGTGATCATGATATTCATGATATTCTTCGGTGTCATCAGATCTCCCATTATAGTGTTAACACCTATTTTCCCCTTCACCCATCTTGTATTTCTAGTACATCTCTCCCCTCCTTTCATACCAGTACACCATCTCCCTCCCCCCAGCACCTCCTAAATACCCTGTCTCTATGCCTCTCAAGATTTCTCCACCTGCCCACTCCCTCCGCCAACCTCTTATCACCCTTTCCCCACCCCAACCCCTCATCACCCAATAACCACGTATAAGCGAAAACGCTCGCATCAAAAAGGCCCGGCGCATCCCCAGCAAACCATTTCTCATCCCCAAGTAACAAACTGAGTGCTTCCCATGCTCTGTCCGCCTCCCTATAAATCATATCCTCGTTGATAATCTCCGCGCTCTTGCGCAACTCCGATTCGGCTGCGGAGCGCAGTTGATGGGCTGTATAGAGGCGGACTGGAAGAGAGGAGGAGGCCGGGTTTATGTAGAGAGGAGCGGCTATTGCGTGGAAATTCGAGGGGGTTAGATAAAGAGTGTGTAGCTTGAAGAAGTTAGTTGGGTCGTCAAGTCTAATGTTGGGGGAGTAAAGTGACGTACCCAAGCATTTCGTATATTATGATCTATTAAAGCTTGATAAGCTTCCAATTTTCTACTCTTCGGTTCAGAGACTTTTTTCCCTTGTTCCTTTGCATATTTCACCAGTCCATTGCTTGGTATCGGAAGGTAGTCATCTTGTGAGGAATCCGATTTGATGCCTGGTAAGAGGAAAGGTAGGACACCAGTAGGTGAAGCATGATTATTTGAAGAGACAATGTTATGATTAACTCCTGCGAGATTTAAGAACGTCTGTCCATGCCGTCAGCCTCGTTATATTGCTTGCTTCAATCTCTAGATAGGTAGACATACCTGCCATTTCAAACATCCTGGATTAAAACTTGGTCTGCCTCCATTCTCTTCGTCGCCCTCTCTACAGAAGATATATAAACTGGGCAATCTAGCATCTCTATCACTTCTTCTACCCTTTGCCCCAGGACTCCTTTGTGGTAGTTCGTTTGCTGGATATGTAACAACAGGAACTTTATCAAACAATTTCTTAACCGGTCTAGGTATACTGAATAAATCCTTCACGGCATTTGTCTGTCGAGTGAAATTGGATTGATTGTATGTGGTATCTTTCTGAGTAGTCGAGCCATCTTTTCTCTCATTCTGCTTCGGCCTCGTAGACGAGGTTGATTCATTTGAAGGAGGCATAGCTTCCCTTGCCAATCTCGAATGGTTTAGATAGAGCGGACCAGGGTAACATCGAATCAGAACAATAATGATCGAGTTCAGTTAAATCCGTAACAAACCCGTGACTATGACTAGGTACCTTGGTAGTTTCGGCGCGTCTGCCGATAGTTTCCTTTTCTCTGATGGGACCAAAATTAAAATGATGAGGCTGTCCGCTGGCCTCACCGCACCGACTCAATTAATTTCATTTGTTTAATTTTTTTTCAATTTTTTTCTGGATAGCAAATTTCAATGCGAAAAAAGGGCCGAGGAACGGCAAGAACGGAGGATGGGATAAGATAAGGCACCTTTGCATTTCGAATTAGATTTAGAGGTCCATACAAGTTACAAGTTACAACTCTCCCTAGTCCTGGTGAGTGTGAGCTGTTAGTACCAGCTACGACACGATACGTATATTTACCGGAATGTACACACAAATGCCGAAGTATCTCCCGTTTTTAATTGATGGAAAAAATGGATTTATCCGTGAGATGTGTGGTGCCAGATTGGTTATGGTATCTAGGTTCTAGGTACCTAATGAGTGGATTGAGGGATTGAGCAGTTGAGCGATTGAGAAATCAGAATTGAAAAGACGTCGTCGTGAAGAATATCGAGAGTTATCGGGTATGAAAGCTACACAGTACTTGGTGTGGTCCCATATTACCACCGAAATAGCAACCTCCATACATATATAAAATGCATCTCTGGCGTGAGAATGATGGAATGATATTGGATGGGATGAACTGCCTTGAAATCTTTTTAAAGATCTTGGATGCATGAACCTACAAGGTATGAAAAAGAACCCCCGAATCATAAGAAATGGGTCTTGGGCTCAGGTACGATGCGTACAGAATGCATGCAGGATAAGCGTGCTAGTATGTCAGTGTGAAGGAGATATATCGTCACATCCAACAAGGTCATTTTTCACATGAGAGCAAGTGAGAAAGATAGGGAAGGAAGATGAATATATATATATATATATACAAAAGGGGGCAACAATTGACTAGCCGAGCCCTTTTCGAAAAGTGGTTATTCTCATACTCTCATACTCTCATATCCTCACACTCTCACACTCTCTCATACATATAAACACATTTAACCTCTTATCCGACCTCGCAACATGGAAATCGTTATACCTCGGATGAAAAGAAAAGAAACGTATGATCCGTTTCGCTTCCACAGCGATAAGGCTCTTAGTGACTCTCACTCACGGCGGGACGAGATATTAACCCGAAAGAAAATGCTTACGAAGTGGCTAACTTACGACTAACTCGATAGTGATATGGGGAAATACTAAAAATGGATTAGTTCTTCGATAAATTGGTACGAGTACCTTGCAATTGCGGAGAAAACAAAGCGGTCTTTTCTCTTTGCCCATGTCATAAATTGAGTTAGCAACATATGTACCTAGTAGGTAGCCGATAACAAATACTTTGGTAAAAATCAAATGAAAAACGGTTGTGAGATATTTGGAGATAATAACCAATTAGATTTGCATTTACCCTCATAGAGAGGATACTTATGAGACAATAATCGATAACCCTGAAGTATCCCCATACAAAATCGTAACTCGGATGATGATGCTCCTTCGCTTTCGCGGTCTAATTGTCAAAAATATGTTTACCGAAAGGAATCCCTTCTGAATCATTGAGACCCTTGAGAATATCATATTCAACCCACTTCCAAACCTTGCTTGTCTTGTTGAACCCTTTCAATCCGAAATTGTAAATAAAGAAAAGAATCTCGTCACTTGGTCATCTTGATTCAAATACTTGACAATTCCTTCTTGTCCTCAAAGGAAGTCACTTGAAACAAAGGACCTGGCTCAAATCATCATCACCCATATCTCGACCGACCTCTTTCAAGAACCACTTTCCCACGTCTTCTCCAACATCCAGAAATCTACCGAGCACTTAAAAAGCACTCCGTGTCCGCTTCACGTTACTATTGCCATCCCACCTCGAATCCAGGTTACCTTCCTACCAATCTTGTACTCACCCAGCCATTCTACCCCTCATCTCCATCCCTTTAGTTCACGTTGACATCTTTGTTTCTGAATATACTCTCACACTATTTCTTTCCAAATTGACACTTGACACATCCTCTCGTCCATCATCATATCGCAGGCCACCAATCCGGTATCAATCTACGTACTTCGAGTCAAGCTTTCTTCGGAGTCTCTTTTCCAAGTCCCAAAACAAGACCGATCGTCATATACGATCAAACCATCTTCGATTCCCACAATAAGTCCGGGGTTTGAGTTTAAGATTGCCCAGTCTAAATTCCGCAGGAGAACCACTTGAAGAATTTTGAGTCTTAGTTCGACCGAGGTATACGCATTTTGGGAGTTACAAAAAATACAAGAGCAAAGAGCGAGAAAAGCGAGCTGGGATTCATACGTTACGTCGTTCAGTTCATACAAGATACTCGGATACCGATTTATATATATATATATATATATATATTTCTCCTACCGAAAAAATTAGAGAAAGTTCTTCATATTCAAAATCTGCATATTCAACCCCGCTCTTCGTTCCAAACACAACAAAGAAAAATACACTTTTCTATCTACCTGCAAGCAACCTTAATTCCCCAAAGAACGCAAAAATGAACGCCCCTCTCACATCACCAACCCGCACCACCTCCACGTCAACTTACTTCCAGTCATTCCCAACCGGCCCCTCGAAATCTTCCTCCTCCTCCTCTAGCGGCCCAACATCCGCTCCTCAACCCTCCGCACCCCAAGCGCCCCAGCGCTCCTCAAGTCAAGACGAAACCTCCCCTTTTCTCAAAGATTTCAACCTCGTCGCCGAAGCAGCCAAGCGTGCACAAATGGCCTGTCTAATGCGAGATATGGAGGGCTGCGGCCTGTAGACACTAAGAATATGGAGAATTGCGGTATTGATGAGCGTGCGAAGATGATGGTATACGATGGGTAGCACACCTATCCATTTATGCGAATCTTCACCGATCAATCGTTCAGAAACCGAGAGTTGAATAACTCGCACTACGAACACAAGAGGAACAGGAGAGTAAGAGAAGAAAGGAAAAGAAAAGAAAAGAAGCGCTGGGTAAACGCCATTCTATTATCTAGATACCTTTCCCAGTACACAAACCACACATCTCGCTTCCCTTCACCAAACCCCTTCATCTACATCTATACTCTCCTCTCACGATTTCGAAACCTCAGCACACATCACATCACTCCATCCACTCCACCAACCAATCACCACTCCCCGAAATCAAAATAACGAAACCACGAGTTCAAGACAGGCGGCAACGGCGGCGGCGTTTTGGCATTCGGCATCTAGGATATAGCATTTAGCATACCAGGACCAGACATGATGTTTTTTTGGCGTTTCCATTCCATTCCTTTTCCTTTCAATTTTTTTATTATAGCAAGCATCGATTGATTGATTACTTAATCCAAACCAATCAAGTTATTTTTTCACCTCGAAATTGATAGCCAGTTGGTTACCTAGTCACTTTACCATTTATTGTTATTAGACAAAAGGAGAGGAAAGGAGAGGAGAGATGGGATTTTGGAGAAATTGAATGGGAATCAGGATCACACACACATATATATTATATCTTTTATATACTGTTATCTCAAAGTTACGAACATATCATGTAACATAATACCATCCCCATTAGAAAGCATACCAAAAATCACAATGTGCCTATCATACCATGAACCCAAAAACCTCACCAAAGATAATAAGAAAAGCGCATTCACACCACAGTCACACGCTTATATATTTGAATAGATATATCTTCGTTTTGCAGCCGGGTATGACTTCATTAAATATAGTATACCATTCCATGTTGCTAATCATTAATCATTCATTTACCCACTCCAACCTTCATTGCTCACTGGGATCTTCAATCTCCAATCCTTTCCCTTATCCCTAACCCATACGAGAATACTCTGCTCGAATTCTTTCCCGAAACCTTCAGGATTTTTTTTACAAGCATTTCCCATTAACCCTGACTATGATTTCTACTTGCGCCATCATTCCTCGTCGGTCTCGTATAATTATCAATATTAACAAAAGCCCCCGGCCCGCCCGATTCTCGAAGGTCTTCTAAAAGTACCGTTGTTTGTTGGTAGACACGTTCAAGGGCCGCTGAAGATGATTTGCCAAGGGAGACTTTTGTCTATGTTAGCAATCAAGTACACAAACAGAAAAGCGAGCGCTAGTGATTCTTCAAGCTAGAATGAAAGTAAAATAGACGACTTACGAAGAATAGCAGAGTTCAATTCCTCTGCTACAGCAACCCTTCCGCTCGGATCCAAGAGATGAGAGACGCTTTTCTCATTGATAGGATCTTTGTATGCAATTAACGAGAAAGCATCTTCCAAAGCTTTGCTAACCTCTCTTCTTGGATCGTCCTTGAATTCTGCTTGAAGGACCTGTCCATATAACAATGTATCTGATAGCAAATTCTGATAATCGGTTTCAAAAGTATCACCGCCGTCCGTTTCCATTCTATCCCAATTGTTGGCCTGGGGTTGATGTTCATCCAGTTCCATATCGTGATTTATAATATCATCATACCAATCCCCGTTATGCGCCGAATTCTTCTTCGACACGTTGGTAGAATTAGAGTTATGCATTTCTGCCATCTGTCGAACCATTTCGATGAACTTGCGACATCTTAATCGAAAATAAACATGTTCGTTGTCTTTCAGAACTTGAGGATAATATGCGTTAGTATGTTTGAGGGCCTGCTCAACATCCCCTTCTAATATTGCTGTGCGTATGCCTATATTAAATTAGTATCGATATCTGGCATTAGTCTGGAATACTCACGTTGCCTATGGCTAGCATCTTGATCATCTTTGATATCGAATCCTGGTATGGTAACATTAGGATCCATGTTCAAAGCCTCTTTTTCAGAGTGAACTTCATTCGCAAATTCTCTTGCCGTTTCGACATAGCCATCATGTGTTAGAAATTGTAGAACCTATCCGGAATCAG